TTTAGAGGATAAATTTATTTCATCCTACTGCCACTATGCATATTGTCATGCTATTTTTACACAAGGTAAGGCTTGATCATTGCTTTCATTAAAAAAAAAAACCAACCAGAAACAAAAGCAAAAAAATTGTTTTTCTTGCTATTTTTTGTAACCTGTTATATAAAGTAGACCACTCTTTTTTTTTTTAACTTAGCAAGACAGTTTTATAATCAAAGGCAGTGATTACTTCCCATCTTTAACTATTTGACCAATTTGGTGATATACTAATAATTATTAAAGTGAATTATACAAAGGAGCTTCAAAATATGTGTGGAAAACCGGGATTGAAAACTCAGGAAATTTTTCCAAGCACTTTTTGAAGCCCCCTCATAGATTCCTGGTAGAGCTCTGGAAAACACGTGAAATTAAAGCCTCTTTTCACGCATTACTTAAGGTTTATTATTATTTATGCAAAATCTTGCTGGAGATCTGTGAGGTTGACCTAGAATTTGTGTAATGTCCTCTCAAGGGTGGTCAGTCCAATTGCCTTGTGATGCTTCAGAGAAATAGCATGTAAGGCATGATGACAAAGCACCTTCAAAGCCTATGCTGATAATGACTAGTCTGTGGCCTCTTTTGAGGCAAATGGTCTTCCTAGACATTGATTTGTTTAGTCTTAAGGAACAGACATTCTGATAGGAGACAAAGCAAATGGTGTAATAATGTATGAACTTGAGAGCCACTTGTATTGGAAAAACAAATAATAGAAGCTTGGATTTTATATTTAAACAAATGAATCGGAAGAGAATAGTCCCCAGCCCCAGTGAAGATAATTTCTCTCGAGCAAATATGCACTCTGAGTCCGTGCTGACATTGAAGATGGACTTTTCAAAGACTGCAAGCACTTCAGCAGCAATACTTATCTGAATTACATTCAACCAGTCGGGACATGATGAAAGAATGCAGGGTATAATCCCCCGAGGGCCTGTGAGTCACCATCTAGAAAGGTTCTTGAAAGGGTAAGAAAATTTTATAGTTTGATCATTAGGAGCCCAAGAAATAGGCTACAGGGTAAAGGCAAGTTAAGGATTAAAAACTTTTGCAAACGGTAAAGCAGTGAATTTATATCCTAAGAAAATTCCCAGGAGAAAAGGCGAGAGAGAGAGAGAGAGAGAGAGAGAATAAGAGAGAAGGAAACCTTTGCATCAAATCTCAACCACAACCTTTCTTCTTACTGAGAATCAGCTAAGCATATTTGATGATAATCAGTTTTCGGTACCTTAGCTCTGATACAGAGCTCTGAGACACACAGAGAATTCTCAAGATCCATTTGCCCACCCTAGTGCTTTGGGGTATATGCAAAGATGAGGGGGTCAATGAGGACATAAAGGATGGATAGGGTTTCAGACTTCAAAATTAGATCACCTTTTTAAAAATAGACTCTCCACCGAGCACGGCTACTGTGTTTTCACAGGCAGAATGAATGAAGCCTTCTTCCAGACATTTTCCTTCTTTATCTCTTTACTCTGAAAATGCGTGTCACAGTGTTGCAGTTGGGTTTGCCTCTCTCACGTGACTGTTATTTTAGTATACGCTGCCAGCCATGTCATTGATGTGGTTGTGAGAATGTAGGTTCTGGCTCGGAAGGAATCCATCAGCTTAATGACAGGGCCACTGGAACGAGGACAAAAGCACCCTGAAGGGGCCCAGCTACGGGCTTTGGAGCTCAGAGCAGATTCTGTTATCTCTGCTCCGTATTCGCAGAACGTATCTAAAACCCAAGTAAAAGATAGGGCTCAATAAAGAGCTCAGGTCTCCAAGGACTTCCTATCGGAAGGGGACACCCAGCCTGAGCAGATCAGAGGAAGTCCAAGAAGAAATGGGCCTGTCTTGGGGCAGGAGGTGACTGGCGAGAGGAACATTTGGGTTGATACAGCACGAGGCCATGAGTTCAAGGAGTTACACAGAGGATTCAGACTGTGTGTAGAATAGCTCTTAGTTTTGTTCTTCGTGTTAGGCGGTGCGATGGAATAGATTCTGATGGATAGCCACCTTGTGATCAGCAGGACAGAACCCTCCTGGTTGCACATCACCCTCACCATCAGTATTGTGCTTGAGTACATTGCTGTGGGCAGCGTGTCAGGCCATCTCACCGAGTGTCTGCCTCCTTTTCTACGGTACCAAGAATGATGGCCTTCTCTAGGGACTGCTTTCTCCTAATAACGTATCCAAAGTAGGGGGATGAAATCTCCTCATTTTCACTTCTAAGGAGCATTCTATACTTCTTCTAAGACAGGGTTTTGGTTTTTTTTTCATTTTCTGACAGTCCATGTATATTCAGTATTCTTCATCAACACCATGATTCAAATGCATCATTTCTTCTTCATTCTTCCTTATTCTTGCCTTACTTTCAGATGCCAATGAATCAGTTGAAAATATCATGGCTTAGACCACGCACACCTTGATTCTCAAAGTAACTGCTTTGATTCCTTAAGCTCTCTTACTGCATCCAGATGGAATTATGAGGGGAAAAATGAAGAGTTGTGATGAAAGGATCCCACAAGAAGGGAAGAAAATGTGGAGAGAGTTGGAGAAGGTTGTCAGGCAGCTGTAGCTTGGTTTTCACTTTGTTCCTCTCTCATCTCTGCATCTTCTTCACTTCAGATCCTTTTGAGTTCAATGACAGATCCTTCCTCTCTCAGGGAGTTGGCCAACATGAGGCCAAACCTTATCAAAGTAAACCTGAAATGGGTACAAATCCGGATCTTTAGTCCTCTGTTTCAGGATCTGTCTCCTGAGTAAAAAGTTACAAGTGTTGAGATGATCTCAGATACCATTCCCGCCTCTTCCTGAGCACCCGGAGAATGCTCCAGAGGCATGGTGTGGCTTTGCTCCGGCAAAGGATATTAAGGTTTTACTGGGGGCCCGGGTTGCAGGGGAATAGAACGTTTAAAGCAAGTTGAAAAAAGACCTACTTCACAAGGACATGAAAATGCTTCTGTACACAGACTAGAAAACCATTTCTGGGGGGCAGGAAACAAAGGCCTTGAGCTGAAGTTGAGGTGCACACTCATTTATAAACACTGAACCCCAAAGGGAAAATACTGAGATTTCTTCCAGCTGTGCAGGTTTTGCAGACATCTCAGACCTTCCTCCCACTTGTGGTGTGATCGAAAGGATGGCCGCTCAGGCTCTTTGCCCCTGGGCAGTATGAGAAGGTGTGTAGCGCTGTCTTGCAATGCAGATCATCCGGGCTGAGCAGTGAAACAGGAATCCAGCTGCCCTCTCAGAGCCCAAGTTAACCTCACCTGGGGTCTAAGTCTCAGCCTGGTGTCCAGTCAGATGGCTCCCAGTGACACTTGCATACGCCCTCTCTCCAAACTTGGAAAGGAGCTGCATGTGACCAACATGGCAAAATGATCTCTTCTGGATGTGCTCCTCGGTCTGGTGTGACAGTTCCTCTTCATTAGCAAGTCTTTCTTCTGAAACACTTCCTGTTTCTAGTACAGAGACAAAGAGTGAGATGGCTTTCTGTCCTGGAACACTCTCAACTAACGCCGAGCTCCAGCCTAGGAGCGGGGCCTGAATGGAAGGCTGTTACCCCTGTAAGCCAAACTGGGAGGGCTTGAATCAGACAGAATGATGCAGACTGAGCGTTTCTTCAGAAAGGTGACTTTCTGCCTATTGGACTTTCTTTTTCCATTCATCGGGAATCGCCACTTTAAAAAAAAAAAAAAGAGGGAAAAATAAAAACAACCTCTTGTTCCATGCCCCAGGCAGTCTACCTGTGTAAAGCAGGCTGTGGCAGCTGGGCTGATGTCCTGGTAGGTGTTTTTCACCTTGAACGCTAGTGGTGGGGTGCCTCAGATCTTCTGAAAGGACACCTCACCGAAGTAGCACGTACGACTGTCTTTCCTTCCTCTTGTCTCTCACCATGCCCTCTGCTTAGCAGATCACTCGGGTGGGAGAAGTATGGGCACACGGTCCGCGGGCGAGGGATGTTTCTTCCTTGTCTGGAGACGTCGAGACAAGTCCAGGCTCTTGCGCATTTGGCGGGGAAGCACTGCCCAGCAGTTCTCCCCGCTCTGAGGGTGCGCTTGCTCTCAGCATGAGCCTTCACCCTGTCCAGAATGTACCTCTGAGGACCGCAGGACCTTTTATAACTGCTAGTCGCTGTTAGCGACGGAAGTGTGGTGAAGGGATTGGTTAGCCTATTCACAGACAGCTAAACCAAAAGGAGTGGCACAACAGTTAAAGCACTGGCTGCTAACTGATAGGTCGGCAGCGCCCTCCCACCAGCTCCTCTGTGGGAGAAAGCTGTGAGCATCTGTGTCTGTCAATTTTACAGCCCTGAAAGCCCTTTGGGACAGGCTCACTCTGTCCTGCAGGCTCACGGTGAAGTAGAATCGACAAGGGCAATCTGGGTGTGGTTTGACTTGAACCTAAGATTGAAAGAAAAATTGGCAAGATGAAATGCTGTTGTTTTTATTTCTATCTTTAAAATCATGCTGAATTCTCCCCCAAATTATAAGAGGTAACAGTCATTAAACTAAAGGGAACACACTAGTATACAAATTGCTCTGTGTTAAATTTGCCGCGGTCTCAATAGTCAATGCAATGCCTGTGTAGTTTATTGAGTTTAGATTTTTAAAAGCAAGTTTGTTGAAAGACTGCTTTGCACCTTAATTTCTCTCATGCATGTTAATTTCGTGTAAGCCTCTGTTATAAGGAGCTCTGTGAGGTCGAATTGACATTGCTTAATAAGCAGTTGAAAAGTTAAGCATAACCAAGAAGTAAGTCATCTACAATTATGAGTCACCTTCCTGACAAGCCAATAAGGTAAGAGAACCCAGGTTGCCAAACAATAACCAGCGCAGCCTGAGGGACCCTGGAAATATATTACAGGTGTGAGGTAGGAAAGCAAAGCCAGTCCTGTTTTATCGCGCTGCAGAGAACAAGCTAAGCTTGCTAACCAAACAATTACTTTACACTGACAATGCCAATTTTTACGTTTGTTTCAGAACAAGGGACGCTCAAACCACCTGAGGTAAGATTACCATTTAAAAGTTTTCATGTTTAGCATCTAAACTTATGCAGTTCATGTTGTTCGCTAACTTCAGCAGGCTTTAGCACCGATGGTATGTTTCGTGTTCCTTTTTAAATGACAAGGGCAGAGGTAGAATGAGTCAGCAAGTGCTTGGGAATGACACGCACCAGTTGAAGTCCCCGAATATTTCAGAGCCACTGTCTGAAATCTCAGGTAGAGGGGAAAGTGAGCATGTATTCTAAAACCATGAGACAGAGGCACCTCAGAAGGACGCATTCAGGGAGATTTCAAATAGCTACTGTGGCAGTGCATGGCATATATCTGGGAACGATTCTCCTGGTACCCTGCTTGGAATTCCACAACCCCCTGAGGTTTTATAAAGTGCAGGGCATCTGCAGATGCAGAGAGTATTAATGATCATGCAGGAAGGGTGATGCCCAGCCCAGGAAAGTTGGCAGCTGTGTGCCCTGTTGTGGATCGTGGCGTTGCTGCCATCCTGTTGCCAGTACTGAAACGTGCCCGCGTTCATGTTTCTAATGGTTTTGCACTGGAGCATAAACACGATTATGATCGCAGCTTCTGGATCAAACCAACATCTGATAACACTTCCCTTTGGTTCGACGTGGAGTCTGCTTCCTAATAGCTTATAAGCCTGTGATTCCTGACACATCCAAAAGAGATCATTGATAAAGAGCCCGGCAGAGTGAAAAAGGTGGCACTTTTTAGATAACCATTACCTTTGCCGTCCCTCAAAAGTAACACATTTTTCACCTGATCCCCAAAGTAGTAAGTAAGTGGGGATCAAAACCACAGCAGAAACACCACAGACTGGAAGAAAATGCTTGGCTGAAGTTAGCATCTCTCTTTAAATCAAGGCGATATTAATGTGTGTTAGCTAAGATAGTGTTTATACCATTGTGGAAAATAATGAAACGTGCATCTGGATATCACATTAACAACATTTGTTTCAGCTGTTTGGAGCTTTGGAGCTGTTGGAGCTTCGTAAACATGATATTAAGAAGCTCACATCACAGACACTGATCTTGCGCCACAGTGGAACTGTTAGCACTGGGAGTCTGGGTTAGGGAATGCATAGCCGGGTAATACGGAGAGGAGCTTCCAGAGTGGGTGGAACAATTCCATCTTTTAAAATCTATCTTTTCACCAACTTTTTGAAGCCTCCCTGCCCTCCAAATACTAAAAAATAAAATAAAATAAAATAGGACGATTTCTCTTTTGGCTAAAATAACAAAACAACAAAAATTTTTGAGTTTTTTTTAATTTGAAATGTTTAGTTGACAAGTAAGATTTTCCATAACAGGCATGAGGATTCTCCCAGCAGTGTTGTCGATGATTTTGAAAAACAGCCCTCCTGGTCCCACTTTCTCACGAGAGACTTCTGGGTAGAGTTCTGAACTTCCACTTGGTGGTGTTACGTAACGTTTCTGCTCTTACATGTACGCTGTCTAGCAAGGGCTTTGCTTTATTTCAGTTAACTAACGTGATGTGCACGTATTTACAGAAAGAAAGTGCACTGATAAGAAATGGGTAATAATTCTCCCAGGCACGTTACATCTCTCTTAAAAACTGTGCATAAGCCTTTTATGAAGTGAATTCATTTTCACATTGATTTTTATTTTCAGTGTAGTGCCAATCTTTGTGACTTAATTTTTAAAATCTAACAAGTGTAATTTTAAATTAATAATTAACAGTCTCTCCTCTGGATGGGTGGATCATTACAGTTAGTTTTTATACTTGCCTCACCATTTGCAAGCACTAGCTGTTTCAAAGGAAGCTTTAGGAGCAAAAGAACATTCAGAAGTATCTTTGCCCTCATGACTTGTCACCAAGCCCATCATGTGCAGAAGGGCCCACTGCAAAGGATATGCTTTAATGATGCTCAGGAGTCTGCCCAAAGGGGCCACTGCAAAGGACATGCTTTAATGATGCTCAGGAGTCTGCCCAGAAGTAAATGGTGACGTTTTTGTAGGCTCTGTGATTTTTTAATTTTTGTTTTCTCCCTTCCTTTGCGATGGTCCTTTTCTCCATGGGGTTTAATGAAGTCCTGGTCGTGTAGTGGTTACACGTTGGGCTGTGATCCGTGTGGTTGACAGTTCAAAACCACTAGCAGTTCATTGGGAGGTAGACTGGGCTTTCTACTCCTATAAATAGTTACAGTCTTGGAAACCCACAGGGGCACTATGAGTCAGCATTGACACCAAGGCAGAGGGTTTTGAGTGAGTGTGGTGCAAGCCATTAAAGTGCTCTGCTACTGACTGAGAGATTGGAGGTTCGAGACCACTCAGAGGCTCCTTGGGAGCTAGATTTTGGTATCTACTTTCCCAAAGAAGTGAACGGTGAGAAAACCCTTGGAGCACACTTGTGTCCTGAAGGACATGGGCAGTGCTGTGAAGTCCCAAGACCTGGAGTTGAAATGGGCTAGAGAGCAGTGGTGTTTGTTTCTTAATCCGCTTGTAGCCCTCTCCTGCTGCCTTGTCCATTGCCCTGATGGTGGTTTTCTTTTAAGTTTGATGTAGATTTTTTAAATCTGCATCCTCAAAGTAGGCCAGTTTTAAGTAGCCACAGGATTCCTACGTATCCATACCCATATGTGGAATGCTCATCTCACATCCAGTTCTGGAATGTTCTCTCAGAATCCCCCTCTGGCTTCAGAAAGCTGCTTAGAGATTTTAAATTCATTTCCTGTTGCTGGTGTTTCTACCACTACAAAATGCACAGGAAACAAAGGCATTGTTGCAGAGGAGTGAAGCTGCTTGTTCTGTTGGTAACATCAACAGAAAACAAAGGTTATTCCCCAAAAAAGGAAAGGAAAGAAAGTGACTGTCTTTCTTTCTTAGGGCTTTATTTGGTGTGTGTGTGTGCATATGCGTGTGTGTTCAAGTGAAAGATAAGGTAGGATCAGGTCGTGAGTAATGAAATAAGAAATTACCAGCTTAGGCCTCCACTCCCCCCTCCAAGGGAGCTCAAAGGAGATGAAGAAGGGTGTGCAGACTGGTCCTGAGGACCTTGTGGGGCTGTAGGTGGGTAAGCATTCCTACTGAGGAGGCAGGCCGCTAGGTGTGCCCCTCAGGGTCCCCTCCTGCAGCTGCTGGGGACTAAAGACTGTCCAGCCTTGTCCCAGACCACTGAGAATATGAGGGCGAGGGGAAAGGTATGCCGGACAGCGTTTCCCAGAATGACAATAGAACATTGCATTCTAAAATTAGTCATTTATGTTCTGCTAAGAAGTTCCAATTTTTCTGCAGTAATTAAAGGGTTTTTTAAAAAAAAGTTTAAGTGCTTTTAAATATATAATAAATCTCAAAAATGATCAGAAAGCACTTGGTCTGAGGAGCTGTTATTCACTCCTGTTTTTGTATTTATTTTTGTTCCCTAACTGCTCACCTTCTGTTTTCAAGGTCATTAGACTTCCCAGGAGGAAACATCTCAAACATAGTCTCAATAGAATACTTTAAGTTTCATTTGAATTTGAACCTTCTGATTGCCAGTGAAATAGTTGATCCGGAATGTTGGGCACCTATGGCATGTTTTTCTTGAAAACAATTTCTAACCCGACAGCCATAAAGTTTCTACAGATGATAATACTAATGAACTAGTACTTAGTAATCCATGTCATGTGGCAGGGACTCAATGGCCACTCATCACAAACTCCCTGCGGTGGGTACTGTTAGCACCCCCATTTTATAAGTGAGAAAACTGAGGCAGAGACATTAACCCACTGGATTAAGATCAGGAGGTGCCCACGGGGCAGAGTCTAAATTTGAACTTGGGAAATCTCGATTCTAGAATCCATGCTCTTAGTAATTGCACTATGTTGTTAAAATTCAAAGTAATGCATTCTTGCTCTTGAATCCAAGCATCTACTCTCATGTTAAGTTTATTATCTTTAAATAATACTCTTTTAGGGACTCTGAAAATATGGCTCACAGGTTGGATTCTCCCCTTCCAAGCATGTCCGTAGTAGTCACAGAAGCAGTGTTTACTGGAAAGGCCTCGGCAGACCGCCTTTAGGAGGCATTAAGAAGGTAGCCGGATAGCAGCATAGGAAGCCAAGAGCAGCAAGATACACATCATTCTATATTTTCTTGCTGGAAATATTGTCTGTTACCGCGAAAGCCCCCAAAACCCTTTCTTTGAAAGCAGTTTCATGAGATTACCAGATGTAAATCTCCAGTTCACCCTGCCTCCCTTTTTCGTCCCTCGTCTCCCAGGCTCAGAGCTACACGCTCTGGTCCTCACTCACCGCCACGGTCTTCACGCCTCCCACCCCAACCGCCTCCCCTGTGAACCTCTTACCCATCTGGCTCAGCATAACCTCAGTGCTGATTTCAAGGACCCCACTGGTCTCTTAGGAGCCCTGATGCAGTAGTGGTTACACATCATGCTGCAAACTTCAAGGTCAGCAGTTTGAAACCACCAGCTGCTCCGTGGGAGAAAGAGGGAGCTTTCTACTCCCACGACGAGTTACAGTCTCAGAAACTCACAGGGGTGTAATTATAGCCTGTCCTATCGTGTCACTAAGAGTTTGCGTGGACTGGATAACCAGGAGTTGGGTTTTGATTTCCGGGTAGTGCGGGGCACATTGGGCTAACACACTCGAGGTCAGCAAGGTGAACCCACCCTCTACTCCGTGGGAGAAAGCTGAGACTTTCAGCTCCTGTAAGGATTTCCAGCTTTGGAAACCTGCAGGGGCAGTTCTACCTTGCCCTAGAGGGTCACTATGAGTCAGAATTGACTCAATGGAAATTAGTTTGGCTTTGAACTCTTGATTGGCCTTTTATTCCCATTTTGCCATTTAACTTGTAAATGAAACAGCAACAGAAAGAAGAAGCCTGAGAAAAACTTCCGTGGCTAATGTGTGCTTAGGAAAGTTGGTGCTCTGATGAAACCGGGTCCGCGCCGAGGCTCCAGCTCCAGTGCGCCACGGAGAAATGGGCTCTCCTGGAAACCCGGAGCCTGGACTTAGAACTTCATCCCGCTGCAAAATAAAAAGTGAAAATCAAGACTTCATTCATTTGTGAGATTACCATAGTTATTAGGTAGAAAGGAATTGAACGCTTGTGAAATTGAATGTTTAGCCGTGCATTTTCCAAGTTTTAAAATCTCTTGTTTTACCTCTCTTCTATAAATTCCTGCCATGTGGAAATTTTCTTATGAATTCCTTCTCTAAAATAAGGATTCACTTTCATCATTCACGTTACCTCCTGTTGTTTTGTTTGGCTTGGCTTTTCTCTTAAACTATTCAGATTTGGCAGTATACAACTTAATCACCATTCTCCTTTAAGTGTTTGTCCAAATCAGAGCTTAAGATCACTGTATCGAAGTGGTAGACCTGCTTCGGTCTCTGTTCTGCCCGACCGCAGTAATGATTGCGTTAGCCTTTTAAGAAACCAGTTTAGGTCTGTTACTCATTGCACCCTTGTAAAGAGCACTTTGACCCATGAATGGGCATGTAGGCTTTGTTCTCATATTTCCTGTAGTCACTGCGACTTAAAATAATAACAATAGCCTAAGCACAATACCAAATGAGAAGATATTTCTTTTCCACAGTGTTAAAATGTATCCTCAAATTATGAAATAGACCTTTGTTCTAGAGAAAGACCTGTTAAAAAGA